ATAATTGATTGTTATTAATCATTAAACTTCTAGAAATTCAGGTCACTCCACTCAGGTCACACTAATCATTAAACACACTCTGCTTGAATCATGTCATATCCTTAAACCTATCCTTTATTAAACATTAAACATCAAACACCATAAGTCGTTAATTCAATGCACATTGTATCATTATACATCAATATTGTACATTAACATAGCATTATATGCGTTACAATCTTCAAGGTACCGGTTCAAGGCACTATTCAATTTCATAGATTCTACGGATTCAGAAAATCATAAATCATGCTGAGAAATTCTGCTTACATGAGGAGACGAAGCTATATACATAAGGCTAACTCACTTAGCCGTGTTACAATCTTCAAGGTACCGGTACCCTCAGGTTTGCCCGGTAACATGTGAATATCCTCGCAGCATTCGATTGCTCCGAATCTCTAATTTCAGAATAACATATATTTTGCCGAGCAGTTATGATTAGGTGAGGGATATAGTTGATGTCTCAAGGAGATATAGTTTTTTTCTGATATACGGTTTCCCACCTTCGAGCCTACCATATCCTCATGTTTGCCCGATCACATATGAATATTTGTACATCAAATAATCCAGCGGAATCTCTACATTCAGAAAAATATATACTTTGCCGAGCGACTTTGCTTTCTTGAGGAGATGTAGCTATTTTTCTAAAGCCATGTCAATTTGCTCAGAGGCACTCATTGAAATACATTGTATCACTGTAGATCAGTTGCTTACATTAATATAGCACTATTGGCGTTACGATCTTCAAGGTACCGGTACCCTCAGGTTTGCCCGGTAACATATGAATATCCTCGCAGTTTTCGATTGCTCAGAATCTCTACTTTCGGAATATCATATATTCTACACCTCTACGCCATTTGATTCCTCAGATCCTCTAGATTCAGAACGTCATATTTGCTGACGAATTCTGCTTACACGAGGAGACTTAGCTGTTTCTTTAAAGGTTTATCCTTATTCCAATGTCGTTATTTTTCGAATTCTTTGCACTTGATCGAGGTATCGTACTTGTGCCGCAGTGATAATCAAGTTATCCAACCATAAGAGATTGATTTCGCTCTTGAGAAATGTTCTTGCCATGTTCTTTTTTTCCACCGCATGTTTGTAATGGTTATTTGGAATTTTCCAAAAGTTGTGCTTTCGTAGCTCTGTCGTACTTTGGGAGAGCAAAATTTTATTTATTTGGCTCGAGACGAAAGCATTGATCAATTGCATACATAATCGAGATATGACTTCAAAATCAACGTGAATAAATAAAGTTCTTCGGACGTATGAATGAGTGGCATCACAGTCAGGTGTTGACCTTTTCCAGCAACCAGTCTTCTCGTCCATTGACCTCAGTCGTCTTCAACGACGTAACCCAATCCTAAAATGAGACCATTCACGTACAATTCAGCATGTTTCGTAATTGGGACTAATCCTGCCCTCTCACAAGGACGAAGTTTGAAGTAATGAATTTATATTTTCACAATCCTGGGATACTCTCGTCACATCTTATTGTTAGCAATTGCTATCCTCTGCGAAATAGGATTCAGGAATTTCCGTCGTGGTTGGAAATCTCAGATTGCGATTTCACAAAGTCAGTGGCCATACATTTCTTACAAATTGACGGTGTTTCGCAGTTTCTAATTGATCAATTTCGAGAAATGAGGTGGAAAGTGGCCATAAGATAACTTGGCAACCGAGAACATTCAGATTAAGTCACTTGGAAATTTCTCGCGGGCACTATTTGGCAGACCAACTCCTAAAGCAAGCTTTTCCAGACGATGCGATCAGTCTCCTTAACATCGCAGTTTGCCCAGCTAACTCTCGAAGTGCGACTATCGAATTGATTCAAAAACTCTCACCTAGACCATCCCAAGCGAGCTCATCGACTGTATCATCGAGGATTCCATATCCATATCCACCGTAATAACTTCGCACGGGAAGATAGTCACCGAAATATAGCGCCTTTATACCTTGAAAGTGTATCTTCTAAGCGATCAAACACGCAATACACGGGGACAGTGATCGGAGAAATAAAAAGAATTTCCGATGTTGTAAACGAAGATGTTGATAATACTCAACTGACTATAATTAATTCAACAAACAATCTTTATTATGCGATTTTTTGCAAGGAATTTATCATAAAATCTATTACTGATAACTTCAGATTGACAATGAAAGTAGTGGGATAAGATTTTGAGTGATGCATGGGTAATTCTAATACCTTGNACTCAACTGACTATAATTAATTCAACAAACAATCTTTATTATGCGATTTTTTCCACGGGATTTATCATAAAATCTGTTACTGATAACTTCAGATTGACAATGAAAGTAGTGGGATAAGATTTTGAGTGATGCATGGGTAATTCTAATACCTTGTTGCATCGAAATTTGATGTATTTTTGATGCAATTTTTGAATAAAAATCGTCTATCGAACGTAAAAATCAAACGTCAACGAAATAAAATTCTACAAAGGTTTTTATACTAACCACTGAAAAGACACACGGCAATGAGAGCGATCAGAAGGAATGTTTTTGTCGACGACATTGTGTAGAGACGACAACACAAATTCAGAATCACTAGTTTGATAGCGGCTAACTGATGTCGTCGACACTGTTCGGTTGTATTTTTATAGTTGACATTTGGTGAACATTTCAGTAAACAAGCTCATCGATTGTCAAAAATCATTAAAGTTTTCCTTTATGACAGTTAATTTGTTGTTTTGATTTATTTCGACTGTTTTAGCTTCTTCCTGAATGGGTGTGTTAACTTCATAAAACTAGTGTAATTACCTGTTACCATTCATAACTAACAAATGAATCATTATGATTGCTCTCGCGTTATGTTTAGTTTTGTATTACATTGTGCAGTTGTATTTATCACTATTGTTATCACTGGTCTTGTTATTGTTATCAGAATTGCTGTTATTAATAGCTTTATTATTATCATCGTTACGATCATTGTTTTTGGTGTGGTCATTAGTCTCACTGTTGTTGTTGTTATTATTACATTCATTGTTATTGGGATGATGTTAATGCAATTCGGCTCATGCAGTACTGCAGTATATCATTATTGCATTTGCATTACAGTATATTGCAAGAAATTATTATTTTTTAATTTATTGGCAAATTATCGTTACACTGATCCATCATCACCTTTGCCATCCGTATTAGATATACTTTCATCTATCTGCAAACAGATCACAACATTATTCTTCATGTTCCATTTCTACTCCTCATTCGTTTTTTTTCCTTTCAAATTCCACACAATCATTCCGTTTTTTGCAATTCTGGATGTTAAGTTGAATGTTTAGGTTACATTGAACGATGCAAACAACTGAAGAACACTCCTTTCATTTGATGGTTTCACAACAACCAAAAAAAANAAAAAAAACGTGTTTCTGCATCACAGCTGATATGTGATGCGAACACCCATTTGACCGGAAGGTTTTTCGATTCAGTTCCACGCATTCATCATGCATCATTTCACTGAGGGTGTGACCTCGCGAATATGATTGATTGACATATTCAGATTGTTATTCAATGAATTGTTGTTGTTGTTTCCCATTTGTTATAGTGAATTTGGAAACGCAACAAATCTGCTTTGAATTAATAGTTTCGTTTTAGACAGTGAAATTTAGGTTGAAAATTGAATATTCTTAGGGAGCTGAGTGGAAATCTAGAGTTGTTGGTGGAAATTTCACTTCCTCGCAGTACTGAATGATCAGCGAAAAAAATTCAGAAGCTTTTCTCCGAATTGATTTGGCATGAGACCGCGTTTCTAATATGAAGTAGCTACTTTAATAACTCGAATATAACTTTAATGACATGTGCGATAATCTCCAAAAATGGAGACTATCGCACGTGCAGTTACTTGTCGCATCCTGTAGATTGTCAATTTTGCGAAAACCTTTTCCATTTTTCCTTCAACGTCAATTTCTTCTTGTTACGCTTATTGATGACAACCGAAGCAACAAGACATTGGAGAGCGAAAATTGTTTCATTATTGCTCATTTTGTGTGATGTGATCAGATTCTGATAGTCCTCAGCGTTGGATGATATCAACAAAACCCTCCAAAGTTAGCATTATCTCAGATATTTAAGACGATATAAAAATTAAAGTCGCAATCAATTTAAGTCGACTCAATTTCAGAGTCAAATCACAAACGCTCATCAGCGTATTCACCGAATCGACCAATCACTCGCAACTGCCAACATCGTTCTGTCTAGCTTTGATAAGATGTTTCTCAAAACCAAAAGAAATTCAATGTGGTGAAAGTTTCACATGAATCACGAAAAATAAACTCAGTGAAGGAAGTGAATCACTGCTCATGACGGTGTTTCACAAGGATGGAGGGAGAAATTCCAAAAATTCTTCATTTTTCACAGAAACTGCTTGATTATTGAACTAATTATTTGGAATTCTATTAGCACGTTTACGGATGGATCATTGGAGCAAGAAGAATGGCCGTCATGCAGAGTGTCAGATGACCTGTTGTATAGCCAAATAAGGGCACGAAACACGGGAGCTTCGGAAACACAGCTATACTGATTACTCCACCATTTCGAGTGCCACTTTAAGGATAAGGTGCTTTTACGAGTGGTCAGCCAGTAGTTAATCGAATGATGAATGTATTTCAATAGCGTAAAATTTCGTTTTTTAAAGACGATTTTGTAGTTGTTACTGAGATGCTGCACCAAAGCGGATGTAACAGTACATAAGCGCTTTACTCGTAGATTATTCACTGAAGTCGAATGAAGTGTTCCAAGTTGCTTGTTTGAAGTAAACAAAACCGAAGTTATTTGAAATGAATAAAAACTGATCGAAATGAACAACAGCTAGTTCGTTTGTTCTTACTGAAATTCGTGATTTTTTCACAGCAAATTGCTTGATTATTGCAAACTTAAGCATTCAATAATATGATCGAAATGCATCAATCACAATTCACCAGTCCATATCAGTCGTTCTTCGATTGCCACTAATTATCAGTTTGTTGTTCTCCAGGCGGACTCACACCGAAGCGGGGTGTTCGTAAATTACTCATACACTGTGTGTGCTGCATATAATTGCGATCCGATAGAAATTGGTCTGTTGAACTGAAATATTACAATTACGATTGATGTGATCATCACTGAATTGCTGATTTATATCATTGTCAATGTCATTGCACTTATCGTCATTCTTCGATTCTTTTCTGCGCCTTTAGTTGCTATTGAATGGATATCTTTAGGATATCTTTTCGCAAGAAATCATTTATCATTTGCGTACCTCATTTTGTATGAAGTTAATCAAATCAATGCCATCGAATTCATTTCAGCGATTTAGATGGATAATTTTTTGCTGAAATTATTCACTATGTTTCGCGTAGAAACTAACTAGAAAATGTTAGTTTTGGATTGTCGACGATAATCAAAACTCGCAGAATTCTAGTGGTCTTTTCATAGCAATTACATTGAGTTGGCTTGAAAAGCTATGATCAAGGCTAGAAGAACGAGGCAAAGCATCAATAATAGAATAGTTTCATAACTAAACCTCAAATCATCTGTTGGTTTGAAGTGACCGCTCAGTGTTTTCGATCTCTTCATCATCGAAATATCATCCATGGTTTTCAGATCATCGAAACCTTTCTTTTCGATTTGCAGATCAGTCGCGCTAAAACTATCTGGGTTTTCTGACAATGACTTAGAAAAGAAATTCTTGAAGAAATCATAAGAAACGTAAACAAAATTTCTCGAGAAAGTGCGATGAACATCAAACGATACTACGAGCATTGCTTTGAGGCGTTCAATAAGCAAGTATTCCTTTTGACCGATGACGACCAATCGAAACGGTTCAATTCAGTTTCAGTCGGTTCAAAAGGTAATCTTTTGAGTTGTATTCGGCCAGTCATTTTCGTCAACTTTACAACCAATCAAAAGATGATTTTCAGCTTTTTAACAGATACTGAATCACATCACCAGATAATCACTCACCTCAGTGATTTATTACCCTTGAATGAAGGTATTTTCAACATACTTTGACACTGGCTCAAAGATGATCGTGTACGGCGTATCTGTTCCAATGGCATTGCTTTTTATTTACTTCACTTCAACTGCGCCAGTAAATTTCTTCAGTGAATCTCACAAGCAAAACATTGCTGAAATAAAACTATTCCTCTACGACCATATAATCACAGCAGAAACAAGCCGTTCGGCACATTCATCTAGTCACACTCCTCACGCAATTTCAATGAAAAATTCGAAAAGCTCCTAGCTATGACAGCATTGAATTCAGTCGATCAATGAGCTCAGTCACATATTCACACGTACAAGAGCAAATGACAAGTAAACGGCTCAGGTCAGTTGAAGCGATAAAGTGAAAAGACTGACTATTCAAGCGGCTAAAACGAGCACTGCCTATATACCGTGAGAGGTGGATGTCGTAAACTAATTTTATAACTCTTCAATTCGAAGATAATTCAATCAACCGACGCTGAAAAAAACAGCATGAATCAGTGCAGTCAATGCATTGTTCAATATCCACACGAATCTCACTCATTTAAAGTAATGAAAGCATTTTGAACGCTTCCGTTTATCACTAGTTGTTTGCACTGACTAATAATAAGGTAAAATTGGTGACTAAATCGTTGATGCTCAAATGCTAAGGCATTTTGAGTGAAACTCGTGGAACCAGATTCGTCGTAATACTCTGATAAATCATTATCATGATACATACATTTATCATCACATTTATATGGGCTTATCCGCATCCGTAATCATATTATTGAATGCCACACTAGGTGTGATGGATCTGAGCTGAACGTACAGGTAGCAAATAGATAGGATTACTGGGTAAAGAGTCTATCCTTGGAAATATCATATCCACTGTCATGCGTTGCTATCAACTGTATGTAATAATAGATCACACTGACGATCATACGTTTACATTGATGTGTTTGCATTCAAGATTCAGTGTAATTTCGATGCTTCTGATGCAGCACACAATGTACTTTTGAACAATGTCTAGTTATCTATCTAGACATCTGACTCTATTGAAAGATTATCAAGTGAGAACGGTGTCCGAGAAGAATGCTGACGTGCACGATACCATATGCAGACGGATGTCAATGTGTTAATGTGCTAATGTCAATGCGTCAATGTCAATGCTAATGAGATATTTCTGTACTTGTATTCACGTCATTGAACGCAAATACCTCTGTATGCATGCGTCCATTGATGCTCATTAGCAGCTATCCAAAATAGCCGAGTTGATGAAATAAAGACGAATCAGTCTCAAAAAAAAGAACTCAGTTGCCAAGGTAACCGAACTCATCCTCACAAGCACTTAATCACCACTCACTACTTCCATCATATCCGTATCTAAAACCGAACCACTCATTCGTTGAAACTAGATATAAGCTCTATCCGAATGTAACAATAGCACTTCAACGGTGTCAACGTACCGTTGCGAATCATAAAATTGCTAAAATACTTTGATTTCAACAGTATAACGTGGTAGCATGGCTGTGTTTATAGATGCCTAGGCACGTTTTATCATCAACTCGTGATGTTGAAAGCATCGAATATGCAAATTTAAGATTGATCATTTGGTTTGAACGTGTTAATGAGATTTATCATTACAAAAATATCTCCTTCGCCAAATGATGATAATATGACCCATACAAAACTTCTTTACGATAACTTTTGGCCATTTTCTTTAATGCTGTAAGAGGTGTCCTTAGGCGGTATACCAGCACCTCGGGTTGTTTTTGCTATAATATTGGTACGGAAGTATTTTACTGCTGAGATAGGTACTGGAGATGTGATCGAGGTGTGTGTTATCAGAGACGTCATTTCCAGTCATTTGGTATGATCGAGTTTGACCAACTGGTTTGCATGTTTTCTGCGTTGTCTTAACCAAGCCTGTCTCCAGTTAGGAAATAAACGCTCAAACATGCATGTACACTTGAACGAATTTGCTTGAACTGTTTGCAAGATTGCTTCAGCGGAAACCCGTCACTCGAGAAGAATTTCGCTACTTTCCAACCTTATCACAAACAGACTTTATATTCATGAGGGGGCTGCCTAATGCTTGGTCAATCAATGATTCCCTTCTATTGAATTTCCTATTCAGCCTTTATTCTCTCTCTCCTATGTTTTGTCATTTATTAACAACAACATTTCAAAATGTATTTTTGGTAGCGATTCCAGTTCTGGAATGTTTTGTGTTTATATTGTATGGATTGAAGCAAAATGTCATTATTCATGCAACGCTTCAACCATTTCACACGCACACAATCACGATTCAATGAGCCGAGCGAGCATTCAGTTCGCTTCGAAGCAAATTCTCATTTTGTGAATATTATTACCAAAGCGATGGGATTGGATTAACAAAAATTCTTGTTTGACAACTAATATAATTCCGTTCAACAATCTGTAAGATTGCCTTAGCTTCTAACTTTCCTATTCCTCCACAAATTGTTCTTTTCCAAGCATCCGAAATGATCTCAAAAAGCAGTCGATCATCGAATTTTTTTGGGATAGAGTCATTAATAACGATGGCAATCTGAGATTAGCTGTACTTTGAGAAATTCTCTGATTGCAGTGACGGCTTCAGAATTTGACTTTGCTTTTCCGCTTCTTCAATAGGACTAAATGGGACGAAGTATAGAGACTAAGAAACTAATTGTATTATGTGCCGATTCAAGGGATCGATTGAAATGCGATGACATGAAAGCCATCAAAATGTTGTGTATTTGAAACATAGTGATATAATTTTTCTTCCTAAATGATATGAAACTCTGTAAAAACAATGGCACTTGATGAAAATTTGAACATACACATAATTGAAATTGAAATAAGGATGAGTAGTAGTGCATTGGTTTTAATTGCTAGAACACACAAACAATGTTACTATCATTTGGCAAGGTAAACATGACTAACCGAAAACAAACACTGATAACGAATGAAGTAAACCAATAATAGAGATGAACAATGCAAAAACAAACAAATTAGTGCAAAAATAACCAAGAAAATTGAGCGTTTGAAGGCAAGTAACTAGACAAGAGTGTGCTAGATGATAACGACAAGAAATAAATAGATATCACATTTCGTTGATCAGTACGGATCAACATTTCAAATAGCTGTAACGCGAAACATGGCAACAATACTGTCAGTGGTGATAATGGAACAACTTATAAATTATCACATTAACATCATCAAATGAAACTTTTTGCAAATCATTACAAAAAACTGCTGCCATATCATTAATCAGATACGAGTTATTAGCTGCAATCGAATGTGACAATATCGCACTTGCAAACGGAATTCATCAGAATGAATTATATTGGCTGCAATTACTATTCTGTGCAATTTGCTGCTGCTGCTAGCTGTGTGTTTGATTCTCTAAGAATTGCATATTTATTCCAGTGAATTCACTGAGAAATTCGGTTATTTACATAGCAATTAATGGTCCCGGTCAATTGCACGGCTCTAATCTCATTCAATTCGATCAACTTTAGCTTGGAACACCAGAAGGTAATCGAATTAAACAAAGACCAACATGCATTACAGTCAAATTTGCTTTGAAAAGCAACAGATGAAAACAAAAACTGGTGCAGTTGCATCATCAAAAGCACACGTCTATATTCTCATCCTCTTCGCACATCGTCACTACCGTAACGGCTGTTTGCGGTATCACAGAGACGTCGATTAGCGATGAGAAATCCTTGGATTCGATCACGCCAGTTCCTAGAGGCACGATTGCTGCGTCGATCACAGTGTGATCAACTAATTTCTTTGGTGTGAAATTTTTCCTTCGTCGTTTCGGCGATACAATTTGAGTGTTTTGTTGCTGCGCGGCGCTTATCACTGTGGTAGTAGCATCGGCTTGATTCAGAAGACCATTGGGAGCGTTTGGCATGGTTACTACATTTGAAGAATCCTCATTTTTACATTTTTCAGCACAACCGTTTGAGTCGTTATTGATAATAGCATCACTAACATAATTATTATTATTATTATCATCATTAATAAAACTATTATTATCAATATTATTATTGCTATTATGAGGATGATTTTTGGTGTTCGGCCTGGAACTGTTACTTGTCCTGTTCAGAGATGTTTCAGTTGAGCGACTCAACAAATCATTACGTTCAACTGAGGTGGTGGTGGTGCTATTTTGAGAGGACGGCGCTGGAAGAAGAATATTGTTGCGTTTTATGAAACGTGCCACCCAGCCCTGAAAGTTCATTTGGTCATCAGTTGTTGATATCCAATCTTTTGATTTTTAATTGGCAATGTATGAGTAATCAAGAATAAATCATCACGTCCAAAGGAAGCAAATCCCGTGTTGATGGTATTCCTTGATACACTGCATGAAGCAATAAACTGCATTACGTTATCTATTCGGATCGAGAACTTTTCAATTCGTGATTGCTCACTTCTATTTAAGTATTGTGAAATCACAACCAAAATTCGTCCATTTTATCGCAACAACAACACAAAAATCTGAATACGAAACTGCGATAGTCGAGAAAACACGCAGTGGATATGCTGATTTCAGATTGCATTCGAAAACGCCTGTAAAGGTGAAGTAGAGACGATTCAAAACGATTCTGAGATTATTAACCATATTTGCTGAGAACTCTTTCGCCTTCAGGTCGCCATCACGTTCACAAATTTCGTTCCAAATATCATTCGCTTTCTCCTTGATTTTATACCATGTCAAAGGTGTGGAGTCGGTGGCTGTTTTGCTCGCTATATACAGCAACTGCAATAAAATCTTGCATTTTGTCCCATTGTTTATTGGAAGCATGAGAAGAAAACTTATTTTTTTCAAACTTCTCGAGAATTTATTCATGAATCGCTCTACTTAGTCCGAGGAATTTCTCAAGAAGTATGGCGCATGNTCTCTAGATCGAAACACGTGTGAGAAAAGAAACCAGCATATAAATGCTGAACGATTCTGTTAGCTGCATCCCCACTGCAATTATTTTATTCTATTTGATGGATTTCTGGGCAATGAATTGGCCTGACTAAAAGCTGATGCTGGCTGATCGATCTCTCGATGCATTTCAGCTAAACCCTGCTGTCAGTGAAATGGATTTGAGTTGAAGCTTAAAACGCGATAGAAGTGGAGCAAATTTGTGTTGGTGTTAAAGAGAGGAATGTGTTTAATTTTTTTTCAATTTGTGTGCTGCTGTGCTGATGATAATAATGGTAGAAAGGATGGATGTGCGCGATGAAAGTAATCGTTTGGTGGATAGTAATGGGAATGAGAACGAGAATGAATAATGCTATTGAGTTGTGAGCGTTTTGTTTGAGAGTTTTAAAGTTGCGCGTTTCAAATCATTCATTGCTGCTGGTGTTGTTATTGACGATTGATTGAGAAGCTGAAGAAATGTTGTTGTTGGTTGGTTGGTTGGTTGAGTTAGTGCGCTGCTGATACACATACATAAGCCTGAATGCTACTACTACTCGCAACTGATAAGAAGTATCGCTTCATTTCTTAAACTTTTTCTCGATTTTTCTAGCAGTCACTAAGCTTCCTTCACAAGAGGTTCAGCTTGAAAATAGATAGATACAACACAGATACATACACATAACAATCAACGCGCAACACGAGCAAACATTCCATTGATCACACACAATTTAGAGCATTCATCTCTGTGCGTCCGTCGTACCTTTGAAAGACGATATCATAAAAATAATCTTAGAATGCAAACCTATAGGTTTTACTGAACTCGTTGAGCAGGCAAAATTTTTAACGAATACTTCTTGATAAAGGATATCTAGATATTCACAGACACCTGGGCTATTCAGCAGTGAATATCCAGATTCTAGAAAAATTCACTAGTGAGATGGACACTTGAATTGCTAAAACATTTTAAGAGCGGCATTCGAGGATACATTTTCAGCGAGCATAACACTTGGATTTGATCTATAAGGTTGTTTTGCTATTCTCCATAAATCTACCCGAATCCATAGTGAGGTTCTATAGGGCATTCACTTTTTTCGATGATTTACTGCGTTAAGAAGTTTCAGAGAATATTTGCAGTTCTCGTATTGTTCATGAGCTTTTCGTTTGTGCATTCCCTCTTGCAGCAATACTAGAGAGTGGAGCAGGCTTTGACAGTTTTACAAATAAAATTGCAACACATTAGCGATGGACACAGATCTTCTTTTTTTGACATGACAGTTGTTCAGATGAAATATCGCGTTCGCAACCGAGAAGACTACCGAATTTTCGTTTTTTCCCTTCATCTATCGTACTCATTGCGCATCACACCAAACATCACTCATTCAATCGTGTTTTGAATACTCTACAAATGTGAATTGCTGAGAAGAAGACGCAAGCCAGTTCCTACACTGTTTTATAAAATCATCTGATCAAGAACATGCTAAACCGACAATGAATATTTAGTCACTGAGCAAATGACCACTTGTCTGCTTTCAAAAATCTGGAGAAAGCTGAGAATATGCTCTGTGAAACTCTTACAGAGAAAAAAATCAGCTGAAATAAATCTTAATATCAATGATTTTCATTGACATTAGATCGCATCGTTCAACTGAAAAGCTTACAAGACTCTTCTCAAGATCCTCACTTAACGGCCTCCTGCCACCGCCATCTAACCTCGATCGCTCTGGAGTTGTTTCGAACATCGATCTGAAACTTCGGTCAATAATTTGTAGTCGTTGATATTACATTGGTCAGT